TAATAAATATATTTTTATCTTAATAAATTTTAATTTAAAATAAACTTTGATTGTAATATAAGCAAGTTTATTTTTTTGAATAAATTCTAAAACTGGATTTTTTAAAAAAATTTGGAAATAAAAAAATATGAAGAAATTTTGAAGTCTTTGAATTGGATAAAAATATTGTTAATAACTCTTTAATTAATACAAAAGCCTCAAGTGTTTACCATTGTAATAAAAAAAGATAAAAAGATAGTTTAATTATTTGTGTCATATAATTATTAACTACAATACTCTCAAACATTTTTATCTCATAAATCGAATTATAATGATTAATACTCTTAAATAAAATGTGCTTACAGTTAAAATCTAGTTAATAAAAAATACAAAGAATGAGAAAAACTATCAAAAAAATGATTTTTTTTTCGGAGTTTATTTTTTTTATTTTTGTTAAATTAAAAGCAGATTTTTTTTTTAAATTTAATAAAAATTGTTTAATACCTTTTGTTTAACATATCAATACACCTAAATAGTTATTTAAATTTTATTTTATATAAATTAACTACTCTCTTTTTGGTTTAGATTTTGATTTGAAAGACTTAAAATATTTATTATGAATCAACTCTTTTCCTTTTAAAAGAAATGAAAGTGATAATAAAATTTATATACTTTCAAAGCAGTTAACACAAATGTTTTTTCATATTCTTTATTAAAATCATTGAAACCAGTTGAATAATAATGAAAACAAAATCCATATTATAATTATTATTTAATTTTTATCAACAAATTCTCCTTCAGTTCACAGGCTCAAGACAAAAGCATTGATTATTTTCAATAATCACTCTACATGGATATTATTATTTAATCCTTTCATTAACCTTTTGTTTTTTGTTAGAAAGACTTAACAATAAAAAAAAAATGATTTGACATTGGACAATGTAAAATGTAAAGAGTTTTTTTGAATAGTGCCGAACTATAAAATAAAAAACACTAAAAAAGGGAATTTGTAATGCTGAAAACATTAACTCATTCACAACAAAAATTAAATATAACATTCACTATTGTTGAAATAGAAACAGGACCAAAAGCTGATATATCAAAGCCAATGTTAGTTAAACTTACAAGAAGTGAAGTTGAACGACAAACACAATTTAAACCGAATGAACCATTAAACTATCGAATTAATTTTATTGGAACATTTTATGTATCAAAGGATAATGTCAAAGAAAAACATCTAACTTTAACACTCCAAATTAGGGGAGATACTAAAACTCAAAGTCCAACAGTCATTAATTTATCAGAATTTGTTCATTTAAAAGGTGTAGAACAATCATTTACAAGAAGAATATTATTTAATGGAGCAATGTATACTGTTAAATGTCAAATTATTGTCTCAGATCCTGGAATTAATTATCCAATAAACTTAGAAGTACCAAATGTTACTCCAAGAGTTCCAAGTCATGTTCCTCCTCAAAAACCTTTACAACAACCTCAAGTTAGTGTTAATACTACTCCACAAAAAACAAAAAAAGAAATTAGATTAACCCATTCTACTAGTTCGTTATCTACTCTTCCTCAACACTATTCAAATGAACCAATTATATCACCAAGATCTACTAGAAGAGAAGTTAGAGCTACCAATTCAAGTGCTACTTTAAATGTGCTAAGGTCACCTGAAATAAGAAATGGGGAAGGAAGAATTCCAAGACCACTTGCAAGGTCAGTTGGAGTATCAAATCAGCGTACTAAACTTACAGTGTCATCATCGATATCATCACCAGGGCAAGATAGTATTCCATCAAGTCAAAATCCATCACCAAGACTAGAAGAGTCAGAAGTTACTAATGAAATGAGTCAATTATTTAAAGATATTGAATCATTTGAAACCATTCAAATGATAGAAGAAAATAATAAAACATTACCAATGCCATTATTAATGGAAATAATATGGAATTGTGTAATGAGTAATAATTTATTAAATAATCAAATAACAATAATTTATGAAATAATTAGAATTCTTCATGAAAAATTAAATGATGATTTTATACAAATGAAGTCATTAGCATATTTAAATTCTACATTATCATGGATTTGTATTTATTTAACAAAATCATTAAGAAATGAAAGAAATGAAAAAGTAAATCAATTATATGAATATTGTAAAATAAGTTTAATTGAAAGTTCAAATGTTCTTTATGAAAGTATAAAAAAAACAATTATTCAAATAACAAATATATGGTTACAACAACAAGACAATTCACAACCATTTCTTGATGGAATTGATAAAATATTAACTCAATGTAATTCAGTACGTTATCCAAAAAATTATTATGAAGCATTAACAAAAGATATAGTTAAAATTATTAACACTGAAACAATTCATTGTATTATTTATTCTAAATACACAACTGAAGAAACTGGGATTTATTCACAAATTCTTGTTCAATTAACTGTTGATTTATTAGAAAGAAAAAATATTCACACAGAATTAACTTTAATTAAAGAACTTGCTGCTGTACTAGTTATTCAAAATAAAGATATTTTAGCAGGAGATGCAAGTATCGAAATTTGTCCTCATCTTACAAGTACAACTCTTGTTCAAGTTTTAAATATTTTAAAAGAAAAAAATCCTCAATGTATTTCTACAAGTACATTAACACTTATTCAAAGAGAACGAAATGGAATTCAATATTATGATGATACGTTAAAATTAACTAAAAAAGAAAAGATTAATGAATGTATTAACCAATCAATTCCTGACACTACTTCTTTACTTCAAATTGAAGAACTTTGTAAACTCTTTAAAGAAAGAAATTACTTTAAATTAAATGGTTTATTTGATTAAATAAAGTAGTTTTTATTTAATTTAAATTTTTCTTTTTATTTAAAAAGAACTTCAAAGTTTTACTTTTAAAAATGAAATTGTGTTATATTATTTTATTTATTTCTTGTTGTTGTTTAAGTTTTGTTGGATATTTTACTTTAAGAAATATCTTTAGAAAAGAATATAATATTTCTACTCCTTCACAATGTTCAAACCTTTTTAGTTTAATACAAAAAGAAAGATCATATTATTCTTCTTTTCCTCCATCTATTAATTCATTTATGAAAGATTTATCTTCTTTTGAATCAGAACAAAGTTTTAAAAATAAACTTCAACAAATGTATGGAATATATGATTGGACATATACAATATTTTCTGATCATTCATCTTTTAGAAATGATTTTCAATTAATGATAAGATATTATATATTAAAATGTACTCATTTTAAAGACAATTAATTTATATTTTATTGGTTTTATTATTTTATTAAAAATAAACCATAACGTTAAATTGACATAAACAACACACATTGTTTGTCGTGTCTTAATTCAATTTGAACATATGAAAATATGAATTTTTTTTCTTGCAAAAACTAATCAAATAATATACTTTGTAATGTCTTATCATTCATTGGAATAAATTTTCTTGTTGATTTAGACATTTCACTATTCAAATATTTACTGATAGTTTCTCCTTTTTTAGTAATATCTGTTTGTGTTAAATAAAGTCCATTTGGACCTTTTATAGAAGTAATTGTTTCTATTACTTGTGCACCATTCTTGCCATCAGTAAATTTAGATATAAATATAAATCCTTTTTCACGAAGGAGGTCTTGCAGCAAATGAAGTAGTTCAGTTACTCTATTTGTATCACTTCTTCTTTTAGCTGTTTTTTCTAAAGTACCCATTTTAATATCCATTTTATATTTTTCTTTACACCGTGCAATAATAAAATCATTAATACTTAAAACATCTTTCATTAATTTAATAGCATCAACTCTTAATAATTGAAACGAAACAATAGATTTCTTTACTGGTGGTCTAATAACAATTTCAAAGAATTGACTTAATAAAGCAATAAAAATAGCTTGTTGGAAAACTTGATAATTTCTCATTCTTTGAAAAGCATGATCATCTGAAGCCCTTCTTTTCTTTTTAGTCCCTTTTATTTTCTTTACATCTTTTATTTCGTTATATTCATTTAATGATGACATTGATTGTGTATCGACTGATTGTAATATGGTATTTCCTTGTGTTTCACATGATGTTCTAGAAATATTTAATTCTTCAATTTTAATAAGTGATGGGTTTATAACGTTAGTTGCACTTGTCATATTGTTTGTAATAATACAATTTTTAAGTTACTTCATTTCGTATTAAAGTCTTTTCTTTTTGTTTTTTTATAAAAACATTTTTTCCTTTTATTCTTCAAAAAAAAAAATAAATAATTTGAGGGGTTTATATTCCTCTATTTTCTCTTTAATTTATCGGGTTTTTTTTCCTAAATCCAATGATCTATTTTTGTATTTTATAGAATCTCCTTTATTTGATACCCAACGACGTATTTTCTTTCTTTTGTATTTCTTTTTTTATTAGTAAAAAAAAAATATTTAATTATATTTAATAAAAATCTATTTATTTCTCCCTTCATTCAGACACTTCCCTATTTTCAAATTACATGTTATTAATTACTAAATTTTTTTTATAGCTTATCACTTTTACTAATTTCATGTTATTTTCATTAATTCTCATTCTTTTAAAATTTTATCTATTAAACCTCTGAAAATTATAACTAGTTTCCAAATTTTTCACAACACTGGATTTTTTCAAATTCTTTTTTAACTTTATTGAAATATAAAATTTAACATCATTAAAGTAATTATAATTAATAATGATTGAGTTGTTTTTAATTGTTTTTTTTTTAAATTAGATTAAATTACCTTTTTTTAATATAAAAATAAGTTATTGGTTTATTTTAAAATAATAAAAATAACTTTGATGATTTACAAAGAATAAAATTTTATTCATCGTTGTTTAGATGGTAGTATAACAACGTAAGTAAGAGATTTAATTTAGTAATACAAATAAATCATATTTATTAAAATAAAAAAAGGGTTATAAGAAACAATAATGATTAAAGAGTTTATTTAAGTACAACAGTTACTTCTAATCCTTATGTTATGATACAAGTCATTATAAATATGATAAATGAGTATGAAAATTAAATATGTTAACATTTTTAATATTAAATAACAATACACAATGGATTATTAAAATATTTTTTACTCCAAAATATCAACCAGAAAATTTGAGAAGTAAATTTATTGAATTAACTAAGTCATATTATATTAAAGGTTAGACAAGAAAAGTTATTAAACAAAAATATCTTGTAGAGTTCAAAATATGTATTAGTAATATCAAATAAATAATTTATTTTTAAAATAGACCCTTTCTATATTTCTTTATAATTCGATTTTAAAATGACTCATATTCTTTTTTTATCTATTCTTTCTTCTATTCTTTTTTTAGTATCGTTTTAATATATTTTCCAGTTTTATTTCTTTTGTTATAACTAACTCTTCCTGTTCTTCTTTTATTCTTTTAATTATTTTTTAGACTTCTTTTTATTTTGTTTTGAATATACTTCTTGAAATCTAGTATGTCTTTCAACTATTTCTTTGTCTTATTACTTCCTAATTATTTCTTCATACTTTTCTTTTTTTTCTTAATTTTTCTAATTCTTTTTATCTTCTCTTTAATTCCTTCTTTTATTGACAGTCATTATCAGTAAATTCTTTATTCTGTTATTATTAATTATATTTTCTTATTCTTTCTTATGTTGTTTGCTCAATTTTATTTATTTTAAACAATATATTCTTTAGTATTTTTATCATATCAATGATACAGTATTTTTTGTTCAATTATTTTTGTTTCTTTAAATAAATCATTCATTATATTGAATATATTTTAATAACATTTAAAAGAAAATACAACTAGATTGTATTGATAAAACAAAATAAATCAAGAGCGTAATAAAAAAAAGAAGATAGGAAACCAAAACTAAAAATTTAAGAAGAACAAGAAATTTTGATAATTTCATAAAAAAATTTATGAAACTATGAAAAAAAGAATAAAAGAAATGAACAAATTAACGACACAAGAATTAATTAAAGTAGTTGATTACTTTGAGACGTTTGATGATTTCAAAAAGTTAATTTTATGTAATAAAAAAATAGCAAAATTAATGGATGAGATTACTTTATCTCCATGTCACTTACCAGTAGAATATTTGAAGTTTTTTCCACATCTTACAAAACAACAAATTAATAGACCAGAAGAAGAAAAAATACCTGGAATGAAAGAGTATATTATTCTTTATCCAGTGTCTTATCATAAATATCATAAACATTCATCTAATAAACAACTTCATTATACTAAAATTGAATTTACTTCAGAAGATCAAAAAGAATTTGGAACTTCAATTCCTTCAGAATGTACATCAATCAATGACAATTGTTTTAATAATTCAGATATTACTGAAATTACTCTTCCAAGAAATATTAAACATATTTCATTAAATTCATTTTTACATTGTACACAATTAAAAAATGTTTATGTTATGACTTCTAATATTTTTTATCCTCGTGTTTCTTATTTAATGAGTAAATTGATAACACAAACAAATGGAATTATGTGTAATGATATAATTTTTACTTTAGAAGATAGAATTCATTCAACATTAAATGATGAAAAAATATCAAATATTGCATTTGTTCCTAAAGGAATTAAAGAAATTGGTCAAAGTTGTTTTGAAAGTTGTCCTCAATATGAAAAAATATCACTCCCTCAAACCGTTAGATTTATTCATGTCAATGCATTTACTGGTTGTTTATTCCTTCAAACAATAACATTACCAAATGACATATTATCAATTGATGACTTTGCTTTTTCTAATTGCGTATCTTTAAAAGAAATAACTTTACCTCCTTTCTTATCAAAACTTGGAAAAAATGCCTTTCTTGGTTGTACCTCATTAACGTCTCTTGTTCTTGGAGAGTATATAACTTCAATTGATTTCTGCACATTTAAAGACTGTTCTTCGCTTCAAAAAGTTCATCTCCCTAACCATTTAATTTCTATTGAACATCGTGCATTTTGTGGTTGTAGAAATTTAAAAGAATTATATTTACCACCTTGTCTTACTTCTATTGGATTTTGTGCTTTCAATGAGTGTGAATCAATGAGTGTTATTAATCTTGACCATGTATCACAAATAGAAGGAGGTGCTTTTAGTGATTGTCATCGCCTTAAATTAATACAAATTCCCTTATTAACTTCAATCCCTGAATATTGTTTTAGCCAATGCAAAGAATTAACACAAATATCATTTGGAAATTATTTAACTTCAATACAAAATAATGCATTTTATAAATGCATTCAACTTAAAACTCTTTTATTTCCTTCAAGCCTTGTTTCTATTGGAAGTAATTCTTTTAGTGGTTGTACTGGATTAAGTAACTTTGAATTACCAAAAACATTGACTTTTATAGGAGAAAACAATTTTAAATCAATAACCATAAATAAAAAGAAAGATAATTGTATTCTTGTTTAAATCAATCCATTGAATGACATTCTTTTAACACAACTACAATTTTCATTATCCCGTTCTATTCGATAAAATTCTTCATTAAAATTAGATAATTTCTTTACAAAATTCTCATCATGTGTAATTAAGATAATCTGGAAATTTGATAACTTTCCTTGTGACTCAAGTAAACTGCATAATTGTTGTGCCAAAGATGTACAATTTTCTTCATCTAAATTAATTGTTGGTTCATCTAATGCTAAAACAGAACATTTAGAACAAAATGTCTTAGCAAGAGCAATTCTAATAATTACTGAGGCTAATGCCTTTTGACCCATAGAACATCTTCCTCTCATTTCCATGGGAATACCATCTTTAACCATATCCACTCGATAGTTATAAGTTGTTCTTGCCCCTTCTTGATTAGGGTCTTCAGCAACAATTTTAACTGTTTGAATATCTTGGGCTGCATATACACCTGACCATAAATCATTAATAATATCATTAATTTCTTTCATTTTCTCTCTATGATACTTTGTCATAGCTCTTCCTACCGCTCCTTTATATTTATCTAAATCTTCAATTGTATTTTTTTCAACAATTCTTCGAATTGATAATTCATCATATTCTGTTTCTAACTTTCCATTTGGATTAAGTCTATTTATATCTTCTTTGTGCCTAAGTATGTTGTCTGTTAATATTTTTAATTCTCCTTCAATTTCACTAACTTCATTCATTAACTTATCTCTAATATTTTCACAGGACTTTATTTCTTTTTTTGTTTTTTCTATCTTTTCTTCACATTCTTTGTAATTTGGACTCTCAACAACATTTTGAATTGAGTCAAGACATTCTTTAGTCTCTATATACCTTTTATCTTCTTCATATTCTTTAATTTTTAGTTTTTTAGTATTAATTTTATCTTGTACATCCCCACTTGTTTGTCTTAATATTTCAATTTCTTGTTCTATTAATTTTAACATGCATTGGTCATTCACAAGTTTCTTTTGATTTGCTTCAAAAACTTCTTCTAATTCTTTTACTCCTTTAGACTTCTTTAATGAAGTTTCCCAAACTGAAATATTTCTTAGCTTTTCTTGAATTGTTTTTATTTCTATATTTCTTTTTTCATTTCTTTCATTATAAATCTTTTGTCGAGACTCTTTTTCTTGATATCTTTTATTAACTTCTTTTCCTTTGCTTTCTATAATTTTATTTTCTTGTCTAATTTCCTCTTTTATTGTAATTATTAACCTTTCTAATTCCTTTATTTCATTTTCTGTTCTTTTCCAATTTTTTTCTTTTTCATCTATCATTTGTGTTAATCCTTTTATATTTAAACTTTTTTTTTCTATATTATTCAATTTCTCTTTTTCTTGTTCTTTAGATTTTATGATTGTCTGCATACAAATCTCTTCTTCTTTTAATTTTGAATTTAATTGATTTTTAATTTCCTTTAATTCATTAACACTCCTTGTTTGCTCTTTTGTTTGAATTTCATTCAGTTCTTCTTGTTTTCTTTTATTTTCTTCTTCTTTTTTAATCATTTCTTTTATTTGTTCATACAAATCTTCTTGTTTTTCAATTTCATTAATGTTTCTTTCTATATTTGAATCAAGATTGTCTCTATATTGATATTGTTCTTGTAGCTGATTCTCCATTTCATTTAATTCCTTTTCAATTTGTATAATTCTTTCCTCATTTTCCTCAATGACTTTCTGATTATTTTCTCTTTTCTTTTCAATTTCTTCTAGATTTTTTAATTCTGTTTTTTCTTCTTGACTAAATCTTCCCATTTTTTTAATTTCTTCTTTTCTTTCATTAATGACTTCATTATCAATATGTTTATTTCCACAAACAGGACATATTCCATTTTCCATTGCTTTATGAACTAATTGTTCTGCTGCTGTCCAAATTCCCCTTTCCATTTCTCTTAATTGAATAATTCGTTCTTTATTCTTTTCTTTATTACCCAATTCATTAATTTCTTTTTTTGCTTTATTTAATTGAAATAGTTTTTCTTCTTTTTCTTGAGTAAGTCGTTTAATTTCCATTTCTATTTTTACAATATTTCGTTTTGTTTCTTCACTATCATTTTTCATACTTAAAATTTCATTTTTTTGTTTTTTTATTATCTCATCAATATCTTTCTCTTTTCCTTGAAGATCTTTACCAACAGTTAATTTAAAATTTTCTAATTCTGTTTCATTTTCATTAATCTCTTTCATTAACCTTTCTATTTTAATTTGTTGTTGAACATTTTCTAATGCCCTATTTATTTCATTATCAATTTCTTCAATATCTTTTTTAATTTCCTCTAATTTGATTTTACTTTTTTGTTCTTTTTCTTCAAATAATTCTTTTGACAACTGTTTTTTTAAATCATTAATTTCTTCATTCTTTTGAATAATATCTTTTTTCATTTCATTAATTTCTTCTTGCATTTCTTGGTCCCTTTTCTTTTTCCTTTCATTTTCTGTAGTTTTGTTATTAACATCATCTTGTTTTACATGAACATTATACTTCCTATTTTCAAGTTCATTTTTTATTTCATTAACTTCTTTTCTCATATCTTCAAGTTCTTTTTCTTCTTTTTTCTTTTCTTCTTCAATTTCTTTTTGTTTTTCTTCGTTTTTGATCTTTTCGTTATGCACTTTCTCTTCAACACTTTCAACTCCTTGAATCTTTTCATTTATTTCTTTTTCTAATTCTCTTCTATTTTTTAAATCATTTTCTAATAAAGTTTGACCTTTCATTTGGTTGTGAATTTGCTTACTCAATTCTTGATGTTGTTCTTCTTTATTAACTTTTTGTTGAACATCAATACTTTGTGTTTCTAATTTTTTAATTTCTTCATTTAAACTTGTAATTAAAATATCCAATTGATCTCTATTATTAGAGGGAATTCTCTTAAAATTTTGAAGTTCATCCTTATACCTTTTAATTTGAGTCATGTAATTTTCTTTCCTTCTACTTTCTTTTTGTAATTCATCAAGTTGAGAGTTAAGTGATTCAATTTCTTTAGTTTTAAGTTCTTTTTCTTGAAGTCTTTGAGATTTAATCATTTTTTTTTCATCAATATCATGTTGACTTTTTTGAATTTCGTTTTGGTCTCTTTTTAGTTTGTTATAATCTTCTGAGATTTTAACAAATCTTAACTCAGTTTCTTTTGATCTTTCTTTACAACTTTTTTGAAGTTTTGAAACGTCGTCAAGGAATTTAGTGTAATTACTTGTACCAAATACATCATCAAACTTTTCTTTGAGTTTTTTTGGTTCTTCAAATGGCCAAAACGAATCTTCTTGATGACAAAACAAAACTGAGTCTAACATTACTGCTGATGTTTCTATTGTACTAGTGAGAGTTCCATCATTTATTTCATGTTTTTGTCCGTCTAATTCTAATTTAGCTTCTTTTGATGAAAATTTTGTTTTTCCAAGACTAATAGAAACTCCTAATTTTCTTGAAATTGTTAATTTTCCTTTTGAAGTATCCAATGAAAGGTTGATATATGCGTCGGTCTTTTTTGTTGCTGACATTGTTGGGTCTCTAACAAATAATCTTCCTCCATTTGAGTTTGGTGGAGGAGTTCCTGTACATGCATATCTTACAGATTCTATAATAGTTGTTTTTCCTGCTCCGTTTGGACCAGTTATTAAAGTTAATGGTTTGAAGAATTCTATTTCAACTGGTTTATCTGGGTTAATACTTCTAATTCCTGCAATTTCCAATTTATCAAAAGTTGTCATTGAATATTATTTTTTTTTATTATTCTTTATTTTTTTATTTTATTTTTTTTTTATTTTACTACATTTGATGAAAAATTACGTAATTAACTTTATTTATTATTTATTTTTATATTTTTATGTTTGAATTAATCTAAATGATGTTTCTTTGTTTGTTATATAATTTTAAGATCTTTTGTTCTTAATTTACGAGAATTAATATTTCATTTTCTTTTATGTATTAAGCTTATTTCTTTTGATAAAAAAGAGCAGTTTTATATGCAATTACAAAGAGATTAAATATAAAAATTAATATGGACATACTAAAGAATAATAATTATTTTAAGTTGTAATTTGAATAATACTATTTTCTTTAAATAATTATTTTGATGTACTTTATCATTTTCTTTAACATTTTAAGATTTATAATAATAACAACTATTTTATTGACTGTTTTGAATGATAGTAAATGAAAAATTCTTTAAAATAAATTATCAAATTTTGTTTGAGCTAATACCACAAATAAGTATTTATTTCTGATTATTACTAGAAGGTTGTAATTTATAATGAATTACTTCAATATCCGTTCCACGTTATTTTTATCTGAATAATAAATCCAATGTTAAACCACAAAACAATAACTAATAAACTGAATAAGATTTGATAACAACAACTAAACAGAATGCATCTGTTTTTTTTAGTCACTCCAATCATCTTCTTCCTCCTCTTCTTCTTCATTATCAACCATATTCATATCCTCTCTTCTTTTAACCATAATTCCTCTCAATGCACTAACAATATCATCGTCTTGTTGAACTGGGACGTTGTCTTCTACTGGAGCAGAGTTAAGATCATTCCTTTTTGCCTGTAACTGTTCTGCAAGAGAAGGACCGCTTGGAACTGTAGAGACAGGAGCAACAACCTTTGGTTCAAGTGGCGGTGGTGGTGGTGCGTTCTTTGTTCCTCTTCTAGGTGGTGGCAATGCAGGTGCACCTCCTCTTGGTGGAGGAACAGGTGGTGGTAATGAAGGTGCTTCTCCATGTGGTGGAGGAACAGGTGGTGGTTCAACTGGAAGATGATGAGAAGGTACATTTCTATTATCAGGCTTTGGTGGTGGTATAGGTTTTCCTTTTCCTTGAGGCGGTGTTGGTAATTTTTTATTTGGAGGTGCAGGTGGTTTACGAGAAGGGACTTGTTTACCAGTTGAACTTGTTGGTGGTTTTCTTCCAGGAGGAGGTGGTGGTAATGTTCCATGGGTGGAAGAAGGTGTTTGTTTATCATTTTCAGAAAGCAATGAGAAAATTTCTTTACGAGTTGTTTCATCTTGTAAATCTTTCTTACGAATACCTGCTTGTCGTAATTTTAATTTCCATTCTGGTGAAATAGAATCCAAGTTAACTTGTCCGTCTGACCCTACACTAACATGATTAATTTGTCTAAAGTCAGTTGGTTCAGAGATAACCATATTCTCAAAATCTTCTTTGGGATGTTTGTTTCTGAACAAGGACATCTGTGAACAATTAGATTTATTTTTGAGAGGTGTATTTTTTTCTTTTACTTTTCGCTTTTCATTTTTTTTCATCCTTAGAAAATTATTCTTGAAGGAAAAAGTATTTAAAATCAAAGTCTTTTCCAAAAACTTATCACCTTGTTGACAAAAAATCATATCTAGTTGTCATTCTAAAAATAAAAAGAATAATGGAAAGTAGTGTTTTAATTGTTTAAATTAGCTTAGTACCACATGAATGAAAAGAAAGTAATTGTTTAAAAAGAGTAAATTAATTTTTTACTTCTTGTGCATAGTCAACTACCATTTCTTTAGAATAATCAGTACGACATTTTAACATTTCATTTGGATCAATAAATTCAAATCCACCGTCTTCAATAATTGTATTAGTAATAGAAATAACATTAGTTTTATCAATGCAATAAATTTTGAATAACATAGTTAAATTTTCAAACATAGATTTAATAGATAAAGGGAAAGAAGATGACCTAATCAGATCAGTAAGATATCTAATGTCATACATAAATATAAACCCACCACTAAATGGAGTAATTTTTAATTTCATAAATGTTTCAATAAGAGTATTATATAAGTTTCTTCCGAATGAAATCATAAAGTTTTTATGATTTTTTCCTGTAATGTATTTGTCAATAGAATTAAGATATTCTTTAAGATATTCACAAAATTCTTTACAAACAAGAGTACAAGCAGGAGAATGTGTCCATGTCATATCATTTTCATCTTTAAAAACAAATTCAGCTTTATATTTTAATTTTTTTTCAATAACTTTAGTAATCCAATCATTACTATTTTCTAATGACTCAGTAATATTTTGTTCCATTTCTTTATATTTTGTACTAAATTTAGTAATACATTCATTATATTTTTGATATAAAAATTTAAAGTTAGGTAATATCTCTTTTTCTAATATATTTTTAATTAAATTTATTGCGTCACAATTTTGTTTAATAACTTCTAAATATCCATTAAAGAAATTAACAGACTTTAATGGGTCAGTTGAATATTTTTGAGTTAAATAGATCATTTTTTTAATACTATCATTTAATACTGAATCAACCCAATTCATTAGACTATCAAATAAAGAATATATAAATGATACTAAGTCTTGAGTTGGACATAATACTTTTGATCTACTTATTGCAAAAGAGAATTGTTGTAAAATGAATTGGATAGTAGAAATATCAATAAGTTTATTAAGCTCATCAACTTTAGTTTTAGAAGGAGAATCAACTTTAAGTTCTTTTTTAAGTTTCATATAATTTGATTTATTTGTATTAAATAATTCATTAATATAATCCTTTTCATTAATTTGATAATATTCATCAATATCTTGTTTAAAACAGTCTTCTATCATTTCATTCATAAATTTCGTTGAAACAATTTTAGATCCTACTATACTTTTACTTAATAATGTAATTGTTTGATCAACTGCATCATATAATTTAAATAAATATTCCATTGTACTTTGACTTGATTCATGAAGATAAATATCTAAAAAATTTTGAATTCTAAATTCAAACATTTCTTGAATAAATTTTTCATTTACTATTTCTTTTTGAATAAATATTTTATCAATTTCTCTTTTTTCTTTTTGACTTTGGTTTATCATTTTTTTATAAAACATTTCTAATCGTTGGTTATGAAGAAGTAATTCTTTATTTGAAATTTCTTCTTTTTCACTTGCTAATTTTTCATCAGCATTTACTTCATTTTCATTTAGAAGAAATTCATTATTTTCTATATAATAATTAATACTATTATTTCCTCTATTCAAATAATATAATAATTCAGCGTTGTCTTTCATTTCTAAATAATTCTTTTCATCAAATCCTTTATTAAATTTCTTTGTTAATTCTTCATTTAAATGATTATAATATTCTCCAACATGTTGAATTCCCCAAATAACATTTTCATTGGTTAACTCTCTACATAATTGTTTGAGTTTTTGTATTCTAATAACAAATTCTGTATCTGGATATTCAACATCATATTTTTTAACATTAAAATCTTCGTCTTTACTCATTTTATCAAACATTCGAAGCATTTCTAATACCTCTTTATCTTTTGTAACTTCTTCTCTTAAATCTAATAGTCTTTCTCCTGATTGCATAACTTCTTCACTTAATTGATTTAATTCATTTTCTGTTCCTTCAAACTCTTCTATTGCTTTTTTCATTCTATCTTTTGCTGTTTTTATTACTCCAAGATATGATTCTTCTTCTTCAACACACTCTTCTTGAAGTGAATTGACAGATGATACATACAACGAAAACTGGCTTTGTAATTTCTTTTCGGCAATTGATAAAATTGAGAACAATGGCTCCATAGAGAATGCCTCAATACCTTGTTCTAATGAAATGTCACATTGTTCAGATAATAAACCATCGATATAATTAAATGGATCAAACATCCTTCCTGAAAAAATGTTTATATCTTGTAACTTTCGTTCAATCTCAGATAAATCAACTGCTTTTTCGCTTGTTGTCATCTTTTCTCTTTTTTTCTTTTAGTTCTTCTATACTTTTTTTCAAGTTCTAAATACTCCTTTAGTTCGAAAGTTTCTCCTTCACTATTTTTATTTTAATTTTAACTAAAAAGGTAATCAGAAATTCCATTTGACTTATTATCTTTATTTCCCTTAATCAATTTAGAATGAAAAAATCTTGTCCAAAAAAAAATAAATAAAACTAAGAAATAATAACAAAATTGAATAATGTTATATATAACTTAAAAAGAACTTATAAAAATTAAACTAAAAAAAGTAAATAGTTCTATGTCAAAAAAAAAAGAAGAAATTAATGAGTTTCATGAAGAAGATAGAGTTGCAACACCTCCAACACGAAGTGGAGGGGGTGATGATGGAACAGATGATTTAATTAAAAATCTCAGAAAGTCATTATCTGATTTAACAAAAGTTGAAAAAATAGAAGAAGCATATGGAATTACTACATCAAATGAAAAGACAAAAAAAAATGAAGAGGTTGATGAAGTTGATATACTTAATGATGAGATATCATCTCCTGCTATTCGTGTCGAATATGTTGATTTTTTTGAGGATGAAATATTTGTTGATGAGAAAAAAAAGCCGATTGCATTTAAAGCAAAGATTCATCGAAAAAGAAAAAATGAAGATGTTTCACAAGAAGAAGAACATATTCACAAACGATTAGCTGAAGAAAATAAGTATATGGATAATAATAAAGAACAAAAATAAAATAATATAAATTTATGAAATATGTAATTTACTTTTTATTAATAAATCCGAATAACATAAAGAAATTTTCTTAAAAAGAAGTTAAATGAATTAGTTTCATATTAAAAAGTACAAAGAATTACAAACAAATATTTTCACTATTATTGTCATATGTATCAGAATACATTGTATTATCAGAAAGAAGTTGTTCAGGAGTACGAGAGAATAATGAATTTTCTTGAGGTGTTTCACAGTCGATGTATTCTTGAAATTCAACTAGTGAAGATTTAGTATGTTTTAAACGAATAGATGTTTGTGCTCGCTGACGTTGTTTTAATGTAAAAAGACTATCTCCATTATTAGATTGTTTAGTTGTACGAACTAAACAAACGCAAGGATCACTTTGAGCTCTTTGACGTTCAGCATTATTGTATCTTTCTATTAATTCTTCTGTAATAAAGCCAGTCTCTCTCCCACCAGGACGTGAAAATTCAATTTTTAATTTCTTACCATTTAATTCACTTTTATTCATTGTTTTTAATGCTTTTTCTGCTGAACGTGAATCAAAAAATTCAATAAATCTATGATGTTTTTTGTTTGGAGTTTGTCTAATATCTTTAATTTCTCCAAATTGTGAAAATATTTGGTGAATTAAAGTATTTGTGATAGTTTCATCTAAATTAAAAACAACAATACTTCCATGATTAATTTGATTTTTATCACGAGAAATAGTATAATGAACTTCAAGAGCTTGATTTCCAATTACAGTTTTTTGTAAAATTTTTATGGCAATTTTAGCACTTCTTATATCATAATACGTTACAATTATAAATCCTCGACTTTTTGTTTCAAAACTTATAGCCTCAATTTCCCCAAATGATTCTAATAATTGATAATAAGCTTCACTGCTTACTTCTGAATTTATGTTAGATATAAACAGTGTATGTGTTTGGTGTTCATTAATACTTTTATTGATTTCAAAGGAGAGGTATCGTGGTGTTTTCCCTAAACTCATTCAACACAATTCTTCTTAGTTCTGTTTTTTCTTCTTTTGCCTTTCTTCTAGCAAAAATCATCCTTTTTTTCCTTTTTCTTTCTTTCGTTCTTTTTTTTTTTAAGAAAAATATCCTTTCATTTTTCTTAATCATCTCATAATTAAATATTCGTCATTTTTTAGTATTTTTCTTGTTTTATATCACAATAATAAAAGTTGCATTTGAATTAAATTTAATTATGTGTCAAAATTCTAAAAATAGAATTAGATTTATTTTTAAATGCCCTTTTCCAAATTTCTTTTTTGAATCGTTTAAACTAATTTGGAATTTGAGGTTAAAACTTGTCAATGAAAAAAGAAAAAAGACAACCACGAAGAGACTGATATGAAAAATAAAAAGACATGAAAACGAATAAAAATTAAGGGGTTATAAGTAGAAAAAAGAACAAGAAAATAATGACAAAGAAAAATAATATTATTTGCCGTTACTTCCATTTTTTTTCACAAAAACAATTTTTTTTATCCAAGCATAAAAAATGAACTAAGCAAAAAACTAGAAAACATTTAATTATAAAAAATGACTGATGATGTTGATGGAGCTTTATCAAAATGGAAAATAAATGGAGGGAAAAAAAATACAGTGAGTTTGTTTTCAACGCCTTTTCAATACCTAAAAATAAATAAATAAATGTATTTACTTTGTTATAGCATTAGTTCATTCTAATACACCTGGAACAATTTCACCAATTGAGGAAGGAAGTTCTTCAAATTCACAGGGTAAAAGTATTACACTAT